CTCCGCCGAAGTCGAGCGCGCCAAGGCCCAACTCAAGGCCTCGATCCTCCTCGCCCTCGACGGCACCACGGCCGTCGCCGAGGACATTGGCCGCCAAATCGTCACCACCGGCCGCCGGTTATCACCCGAGGAGGTGGAGCGCGTCGTCGGCCGCATCACAGAGAAGGACGTTATGCAATTCGCCCGCAACAGGCTGTGGGACAAGGACGTCGCTGTCTCGGCTGTGGGCCAGATTGAGGGTCTGCTCGATTACAACAGGATTAGGAATGATATGAGCAGGATGCTTTCATAAGCAGGCTGACGAGAGGAGAGGAAATATGTGCATAGTAAGATGATTGCTGTGAAAGCGTTTTTAGACGGCATAGGTTACTATTGTAGTTTTTTGTATGAAGTACTTGACCGGACTGTATTTTGACAAGATCTTTTTCAATAATGCTTGTTGCCTGTGGATGAAGTGCACATGGGTTCATTTGTGTGGTCGATGTGGAAGTAGGAAAAAGTCTGCCCGAATCAAGGGCAAGCCCATGTCTGAGTCAAAGACATTGTCTCTTCCTTTTCTTCTTTCTCCGGCACAGTTCGCTGATCTCCTTGTTCATACCTACATTACAACCGTCAATAAGGAGCGAGAGCTCCGACAGCAATTCGAGATCATCTCGCTGACGACTTATTCCTGCGGTGTATTCTCGCTCGAGACTCAGATTTTCCGCTCTTGCTTGCGATCCACGCCTCCTTTATGTCTGAGACAATTCTTTGTCTAGTCTCTCATTGTGTAGATTACAAGTCGTCAGTTAGGTATCAATTCACCCCTCCAACAGCGACGTAAGACAATCTCTTGCCAAACAGCTATTGTGTAGCTCAGTCCAGCGGTGAATGAGCAGAGAAGCTAGGTAGGTCTTCTACATAAGCGGTTCGAGCTTCGCCTTTCGTTATCTCTCATCTCACTTACAACCTTAATTCAACCATGGACAAAACTCAAACTCAGCTGGTCGTCTTATTGGCAGCTATCACTGCCGGTTCGGTCGTGACTTTCGAGTACCTACGGTGGTCTGATTCACGGCTGAAGACTCAACCAGTGTCCTTAGTTGCGCATACTACACCCGAGACTTCTCAAGTTACGATTCATCCTGGAAAGAAAGAGGAGAGTGCTAGGCAGTCTCAGGTCGATACCTCCACTAATCAGTCCGTTGTGAAAACCACAGTAGAGACTCACCCCGAAAAGCCCAAAGAGAGTAGCCAGGAATCACAGCACGATGTTTCCCCGAACCCGCCTGTCGCCGAGACCACAACACAGCGTCCTGGGGTCCCATGCCATTGCGATCCGTGCAAAGAGCACAGCCAAAGGTCTGAAATGGATACCTCCGCAAATCGGCCTGCCATGGTTTCTAGAGATAAGGAGAACCGAACTATACTCGATGTCCATCTCATTCAGTCGAGATTTGACTTCCAGTGCTCCTGTGACTTGCACGCAAAGCAGCTTTACTTCAACTGGCCTTGGACATGCAACTCCAAGCACAACGAGGACGACATCATCCTTCAACCCAATTCACGACCTACCCTAATCCAAGATCACGAAGATGGTATTTACGAACCCCTGTTACTGGCACACCGCACCATCGAGTACTTCTCTCGCCCCGAAACTGCCATGGACTCCAGCCAAACCGCGGCCCTTGCCCAATGGCGCAAAAGCCACGAGCGCACCCGCGTCCTCGAAATGCTAGCCCAGCACGACATCCGCAACAAAGACACGCAGTTCTTAACAGATTGGGTCGTCTCGCAGCTCAACGAAATCTTCTTCTTCGGCGCAATCAAGAGCCTCGAAACAGTCTGGAACACCAATGAGCTGGACAGCGAACACGGCATACTAGGAGACGCAATTACAAAACTCAAAGACGGAAACAACCACTCGTTCATTCGCCTCCACCCAACACGTCGCTGCTACACACAGTCAGAGTACAAGCGTACAGGCAAGACCCTCGCGGAAGAACGCATGGGATGCATTCTACACGAGATGCTACATATCTTTCTGGATCAACATATGTGTGAACTATGTGGTACGCCCGAAAATAGGTCTTCTCATGGAAGGGCGTGGCAGCGGATTGCAAGGAAGATTGAGGAGCAGAGCTTGCGTCTGTTGGGTATCGAGGCGGATGTAAATCGACTGTCTAGCTTTATGAATGATTGGCAGGACTACGATACTAGGGAGAATGTTAGTATTTGCGATTTGCAGGATTGGGGCTTTTGGGAGAGGCCTGAATATGACGTGTAGGGGCTGAGCGTAGACGATGGATACTGGGTAGTGTTTTTGTCTAATTGTTCGATGCTAGAGCGGAGACCATACACCCTGGTCGAGGATGAGTCTAGATACTCAGATGTACTTTGATAGAAATATGGTCATATGTCTGAAATCACTTTGTTGCGATTGAATACAGTGCCAGCCGCTTCATGTTGAGTTGCTGAGGTGTTCAGCCTGCATTGCCCCGCCTCAGGGTTGGACGCACCTTCCCCTGCCGGCAGATCCGCCATCCAGGAATCTAGGACAACCAGGGTTCTGACAAGGTTCTAGACTTCATTGGAACACCAGCATACCATCGCGACATTCTAGGCAGTAACCAATGTTGCGTTCGCCAGCTCGCGCACTCTGTTCAAGCCACGGGTTCATTTTCCTGGTTGCGGCTGACGCTATGACGTCGCCGCCCTGTGCTCCGCGGTGCTTGTTCGATGAGCAAACGTAACCAGCCGTGCCAGCGTACTTGGAGAAGGGCACAATGGCAGCCTCTACAGACTCACCTGTTGTCACTGAACCTGAGAACCCGGCCCAAATGCGCACTTACGATTGATACAACATTGATCCATCGTCACATACCTGCTAATGTAGCCTACGCACGTCGCGCTTGACTAACTGAGGCATAGCGCCACCATGGACATCGACAAAAAGTTTCGCCAGGTCGATGAGCTCGATATTGGACTGGATCGGTCACATATCACGTATCAAGGTCAGATCGAAGTAACCGGAAGTCGCTCCGAAAGTAGCAATGACGACACACCTCACCTACACGATCCGTCGCCTGTATCATCCACTAGTAGGATAGTCAACAAGGTTCGCCAAAAGAAGCACATCGCCGGTGTCAAGATCAGAAAGACTTTGCATATTGCAAAGGCTGAAGATGAAATCGATGAGCCTGATCCTGATTCGCTGGTGCTGGTCGATACGACGGAAGGAAAGCAGTCGAAGTCACGTCTTGACCACAAGTCCACCGCCTCAGAGAAACATACTTTCAAGGACCTCCTGCATAATCCGATTGATACGGTGAAATCTAAGGGATGGTGTCAAGGTAAGCGACCTTTGTTTCAGATGTAAACGCCAAAGCCAGGAGGAATACGCATGTTCCCACCGCGCCAGATGGAGCAGAATTTCACCTTCACGCGCATAGTACATGTTTCGCTGACTGAAGACTTCCAGGAAACCAAGAAGTCGCAGCAAACATAGCTGTGAGCGAAGTGCCTCATGGCCAGGAAGTGGATTTGGTCAATGCCGCGGCTGCGATAGAACAAGCTACGACTACGGATGCGAAGGCGCAGGCCCAGCAAACTTTCGCTGACATGCTCAACCAAAGACAGAGCATCTATGTCAGGTGGTCACTAGATCGGCATGTGACAAAGATTAGGGTCCTTCCTCGAGACACCGCGGTGCTCAAGCCAAGATCTGATTTCGAGAAGCAAGATGCCGCAGGCCGCGGCTTCACTGACTGGAGAACATATGGTTCGCACTTATTAGACTACTACGCTCACCGATACGGAGGTCAATATATAGGCTACGGATCGGATCCACCAACTCCAAGCAAAGAGACAATTATGCCGAATATCGAGCGCCTCATCGTTGCGACGTCGCCTTTCCAGGAGTTCATCATGACCACGCGCCGCGTATACCGCTGGGAGAAACCTCTCGAGACAACAAAGTACTTGGTGATTTACCTCGTCCTTTGGTATTTCAACCTACTACTACCAGGCATGATGTCAGCGCTACTGTATCTGGTCGTCGAGCGACGCTGGCACGGACAGTCCATCCAAGACCTCCGTGAAGACATTGAACACAGAGAAGACGTGGAGAGAACGGCATTGTCACTTACCGAGTTCATCGAGAAACAAGGCGACGAGAACTGGGCACACGATCTGCTTCAAGACCTTGGTCCTTGGCTTATGGTTCAGCTAGCCGACCTGGCCAACTTCTTCGAAAGTGTCCGCAACTTCTACGAGTGGAGGAAGCCAATGCGCACGCTGGCTGTTATCGTCGTTATGACTGTCGCCATTCTCATCACGGTCTTCACGCCTCTTTGGCTACTCATCAAAATTTCTACGTTTTCTGCTGGTTTCGCCTTCTTCTGCCTCTTTCCTGTCTCGGTCAACTTTCCGAATTACCGCCTGCTTGTCTCGCCATCTAAGCGGTTGCTCTGGAACATACCAACACATGCAGAGTGGGCAATTCAGTACATACAAGCTGAAGGCCTTCGTGTAATCACCGAGAAGCAGAACACCACGGTCAAAGCAACGGATCTAAAGTACACAAATGATCTCAAAGACTCCGCCTCACCATCCAACCAAGACTTCGCCTCCTACCGCTCACAATTCGACAAAACGCCCGGACACCTCGTCATCAACGCAACAGGGGTGCGCTTCGTCGCGAAGCGTCCACCACATGAAATCCGTTTCTCGCTGCCATATGTACAGATCAACCAACTGGAGAAGCAAGACCGGTATGTGGAGAAGATGATCAAGGTCCTCAAGGAATGCGATAGAGATCTGCGTTTCCTGGATAGGAATGGCCATGAGTGGATCTTGCATGAAGTCGAGAAGAGAGACGAGGCGTTTAGCCAGATAGTCGGATTCAGTCGAACGACATGGCAGGTGTTGTGGTAGCACAGTTCTATCTCTGAACACGAAAACAATTCTCATAAAGAAGTCTTTCTATGATACAAATATTCACTCCCCGATCACACCAACAATCAAACCTTCTCGACCCCACTGCCCCCCTCCACACCCACAATCGTAGCCTCGCCATTCCCCAACGTCTCCACCAACCGCCTCGGCCCAACATACCCCCTCTTCCTTATCCACACATACCAGCCGCCCAGCAGAATCGTAACCCCGCCCACCAACGCACTCGTATAATTCATCGTCGTAGTATCAAACGGCACCGCGAACGGGAAACAGTAGATCGGTATCCACACAACCATGTACCCACACGCTATACTCGCAACCGTATAAAACACCGGCGTAGGCATCGTAAACGGGCCTGAGATAACGTGGCGGCGCCGGGTTAGTATGTTGGGTAGGATGAAAGCGAGGTACGACATCGAGCTCAGCACGATGAAGGAGCCTACGAAAGCGGAGAAGGCTGTGGAGCTACCGATGTATATGCAACCGAGGATTGTGTTGATACCCCCACAAGCCAACGTCGCATTAAACGGATTCTCCCACTTCCTATCCACCTTGCCCACCCACTTGCTAAACGGCGTCGCGTCGTCTCTGCCCAGCGTCCACAGCATGCGGCCGGAAGTAATATAACAACCGATATTCGTGCAGAACGTCGGGACGAAGATGACGAGTAAGAGGCCGAGGGAGCCGCCGTGCGTGTTTGTGGCCTGCCGGTAGAGCTCGGCGAGGGGAAAGGGCCAGGGGTTTGAGAAGAGACTGTCGAGGTCGTTTACGGCGTAGAAGATTGTTATCAGGTAGAGGAGGGCGGTTAGGAAACCGACGGTGTATTGCGCGAGGATGGCTTTGGGGATGTTGGTGCGGGGGGAGGGGAGTTCTTCGGCGAGGTGGGATACGCAGTCGCTGGGGGTGAATTGTTAGTATGGCATTTGTATTCTTCGGTTGGTTGATATTTGAGGTTGGGGAAAAGGAAGGGGATGGAAGATAGATGGAATGGGATAAAACTCACGGCGTCCCCACAGCAAAAGCCCCATTCAACATGCCCGCGCAAAACACAAATCCATCGCTCTTCCACCCAGCCTGGTTCTGCCAGTCTTTCCACACAAACTCGTTGCTCGCGTACCCTTTTCCGGTTCTACTAGGCATGATGGCGCAGACCATGATGGTAACAAACACACCCATGAGGATGAAGAAGAGACCGATGTTTGTTAGTTTAGGCAGCGCGCGATTAGCGAACATGACGACGAAGCAGGCGAGCCAGGTGATGATGAGGTAGGCGATGAAGACGTGCCAGCGCTCGAAGGCGTAGCCGGGGTGGAAGAGACCGTACATGGAGATGATTTGGTTGGCGAGGATGGAGGAGATGGATGCTGTGCCGAAGATCCAGCCTAGGGCGTTCCACCTGGGTGTGTTAGTTGTGCTCTTTTCTTATATCATGTCGTTTGTTGGAGTGGGTTGGGTGATACATACCAGCCAGCGTAGAACCCGATTACCTTTCCGAACCTAGCTCCGCCTGTGACGGAAGCCCAGTGGTATACACCCGCTGATGAGGGAATTGCAGATGCCATCTCTGCGATACACGCCGCGATCATGAAGTAGCAACATGCTACGGCGATGAACTCGTAGATGACACCTGCTGGGCCGCCATTGTAGAGCGCAATGACCTAGGCAAGGTTAGCATCTTGTATCCCATGAATTCGTTCCAGAGAAAAAGATGGACGTACGATAGACCCTCCCAACGCAGCCCAAACATTCCCCGTCGTAATTCCAATCGCACAGATACTCAACAAACTGAAATTCCTCTCAAGTTCCTGTTTGTGACCCGACGCGTTCAGGACTTCGCCAACGCCTGTCGCTTCATCGACATCCTCCGGTCTCGACTTCTCAGCAGACTTCTTTTCTAAATCCATCTTCGGAAGTGGTAGTACAGCGTGAACGGTACGCCAGTAACCGTGAAAGTTTTGCTACTGCGACGTGATGCAATGCGTAAGCAGGAGGTCGTTGATGACTAGGATACACGCAAAAGCGATAAGACCCGTCGTAACGTCAACAACCCTCCTCTCTGCCTAGACACGGCCAACCGGAGATTAACGCCACCAATCGATCAAGTCCAAGCGAGCGAGCAATCGAGTGGACTCGCGGTGTCGATCGCAGATCAAACGGTCCTACGCGGGAATCGTACAAGCAAACGTCCCGCCCAAGAGATAAGGAAGCAACGAACGATGGCGAAAGAAAGGACGATGAACACGGCTGAGAAGACTGTAACGACACAGAGGAAGAAGAAAGGAAATGTGCAATTCACATCTTACTCTTATGACGACCCGCGACTTCGCACGCCTCTATCTCTGTCGTTACGTTGTGTTGTGTCAAACATAACAGTGACATCTACACGTAAGTACGTATGCTAAGCGACGCGACAAAATTTCCAAGACAGGCAGATAAAGCAGCCCTACCAGCACCCATGCGACTTCCGTACGCACTAAGTGTACCCATAGCCCAGTGCTAGATGCCGTCTCTACGCCCCGGTCACGGCCGTCACGCCAACAGTCAGCCCCAGCGAAGCAAACCCATCCCAAAAAAGTCTGACCTACATACCCACATACTATAGTCCAACGTGCGAGCATCCGCCATCTCCGCACTCCCGCAGCTGGAATGGATACCGTGGAGACGGGTGACGGATATCAGACATCAGGGAACACTAATCATGTTGTGTCGCAGTCATGCATGTCGAACTGATAAGAGAACCTCAGGCGAGCGATGGTGGACCAGGGGTGTAAGATAACCAACGATCCCGGGAATGTGGTGCAGGAACTGTAAATTTGACCAATGGGAAGAGGGTAGTGAGGTTTGGTGGAGAGGCACATCCCGGGAGATAGGCGGATATGCTGCGACTTGGGGAATGCGGAGATATCTTGCATGGCTTGTGTAACGAGGTGGCGTAAGGCGAGATAAGTGATTACTCCGACGACGGGTTTTGGAGGTTTGGAGGTGAGATCGGGAGATGTTGTTAGAATGTTTTTTTCCAGACTCGCAAGATTAGTGGAATAATCGAGTCGAGATGCGACGGTTTCTCGTTCTGCTTCTCCCCATATTAGCGTCTAGATGGTGGTGTGATGGGTGTCGTCCACAGGTCGGAAGACGGCGCCATGATCGAGCCGCTTACGCCCGTGCTATACCCCACGCGTCCTAATCGGCTCCATTGGTCGTGCGACTTGACACCATGCGATGCAGTGACATTGGGGCGTTAATTGAGATCCATGGAGAAACAAGGCGTGATACGCTGACAATGGCTGTGCGGTCGGGAAGTACAAATGTGTTCAGCGAAAAAGAAAGTAGATTGGTCCACCCACGTCCAGTGCATTGTCACCAGAGCTTTTTAGGTGACATGCGCCGGATAGGAAGACTGTAGTGACATGCGCTATATGCTATATTTCTTGTTTTGTGTTTACCGCGTAATAGGGTCAACTACAAAACAACAAACATAGCATATAACGCATGCCACTACAGCCTTCCTGTGGCTATATTTCTTAGATACTGTACACAAAATAAACAAACGCACTTTCAACTCCGTGTTCCCATGTCATGTCGCTCTGCCAGAGGTCCAGTGATTACATACGTTTCGTCCTCATTTACGCGCGAGCGATATCCGTTTCTAGTGATATATTCAATCCGTCTTCAATCCAACTCATTCCGTGTGAAAGAAAGTAGGCTCACGCGCTGCGCATCTCGGTATCCTCGGCATCGTCCACGTCGCCAATCTTCCGCTTGCTAGGCGTCGCGCTGCCCTCGTCGCCGTTGTCATCGCCCTCGGTCCACTCGGTGACTTCCCACTCGACGTGCACGCCGCTCTCGGAGTGTCCGCCGCGCTGCTGCTTGAAGCGGCCCAGGCGGGTGTTGCGCACAATCTCTTCGAACCAGGGCGCGCCTCGGGATTGAGGTTCTGAGCGGACGACTGTGCGCGAGCGGTTTGTCCGTGAGGGTCCGGCGGCGGATGTCTCGTCCTCGTCGTCGCTGCTCTCGCTGCTGCTGGGCAGGAAGCCGAGTTCGCCTAGCATGTCTTGGTCTTCGTCGAGCAGGCTGCCGACGGTCAGGGAGATGTGCTCGGCCTCGTCTCTCGTCCGCTCATTCCATGACGAGAGCTGTGTGCCGCAGTATCCGCAGAACTGGCGGCGGGTATTCGAGGTGTACGGGTTGACGAAGCTGCGCTTGATGCTCAGGCGCGTCTCGTCGGGGTATTGTGCAAACGTCGCCGAGGTGTACCATGGCAGAGGGACGCGGAGCCAGAGTGTGAGGGGGTTCGCTGAGTGGTGTCCTAGAGTCTTGTTAGCACCGTGTTGGAGAGTAGCGCGCGGCAACCCAAAGCAGACTTGGGCTGCACAACACCCGGCGTGTACTTACGCGACGCAGAGGTATTGTCGTATCGCAGCTCGGCCTGGCGAATCTGCTGTGTCGGCATCTCAATGACATAGCGGTTGCGTCCGCACGCGCAGGAGCCGTGCAGCGTCTGCGTCGCCATTCCGGGCTCGGGGATGTTTGGATGGAAGCGGTTCGCGTGGTGTGTTCGGGTGCAGACAATGCCTCTGCCCATATAACTCGCGATTGACGTGTTTCAGTGTGTGCGGCGTGGCGTGTGGAAAGAAATCGAAATTGGCTGCTGCCCGTCGCGCCTTCCCCAGCTGTTGTGCAACGGCCCGTGCTGCGATTGGTTGACGGTCAGCCTTGTGGTATGCCGACCAAGGTTTACCCTTTCACGTCACCTGGACAACTGTAATGGCCGTGTAAGAATGAGATGGTGTTTATTTCGAGTCGGTATCTATAGAGGATATCGAGATATTCGTCGCGAGGCATATGTACTGCGCCATGCAAAAGTGACAGCCATGGACCCTCGTGATACAGCCTGTCGTCATGTGTGGGGAAGCCCACGAGAGAACATTCGAGCACGCCCTGGCACCTTCGCGAACCAGAACCTCGAGCTGTCGTCAACCCCTCTTCTTCTTTTCATCTTTCCTCATCTTAGCGACACTTTCGTTTACTCTCTCAATCGCCTCCCTCGCCCCATCCCAGCACTTCCTCTTGCCTGTGCCGAACACGCGATGTATGTGCGGACTCCATATCCCACCCATCAGCAGGTTGCAGAACTTTCTGTTCTGAAGCCAAAACAGCCAGCCTTTCCACCCGTATCCCAGGTACTCATTGACACCCGTACCGGCAAGATCGTCCATGGCCGCGACCCAATCACCTGTCTCACATTGCCCTGGCGACAAGTTGTAAACACGCTTTGCCGTCTCTGCTAACCACACGTGGTGTTTATCCACAGCGAGCTTCATATCCGGAAGCGAGGGTAGAGAGGATTTGCCCGCCCAGACCTGGGCTATAGCCATGGTTGTCAAGTCTAGTCGTCGTCAGCACGTGTCTCGCCTAACCATCATACCTAGAGTCGCTCACCGAAAATCTTAAACCCACTAATCGTTATGTGTACAGTAGCCATGAACGCCAGACTATCCGGCTTCTCGAGTGAAAAGACGTTCTTGTAGAGACGGAAGAGCGACTTCCCATTCGAGCCCGGCGCGTCGAGCCACGCTTGAGGCCGACATTCAGGATTGAAACGCGGCTCGATCATGCTGAAGTCAGACTTGTAGCCCGTACACCAGATTATTGCGTCCACGTCAACTTTTGTCCCGTCTTGCAACTCTACCTCAGTAGCATTCACAATGCGCTTGATGCCTGCGACTGATGTGATGCTGCCGTCCTCGAGGCAGGGGACTAACGTATCAGATACCACTGGTACCTTACTTGCGGGCTCGAAGCGCCATTCAGGGCGGATTTTGAAACTCTGGTCTTGCAGTTTCTTGAGGAATTTATCGAAGAGGAACTCGCCGAGGCGAGGGAAGTATGTTATGACGAGGCTTTGGAAGGTGGCAAGACGTAGGTTGTGTGTGTGGTCTATCGGGACACCCTTTATGCGCCGCGGGAACTACAAGAACCATTGTCAGTCTCAAGAACTTCGCAAATCAACAAGGTACGCTTCAACTTACAACCCGAGCTCCATGCCGATGTGCCAAATACACTTTATCTGCTATTCCCACCAGCTGAGTAGATGTATCCGCCGCACTGTTGCTGAACCCTACAACCATGACTCTCTTCCCCTTGTAGTCTGCCGGCCGCTTGAAAGCTTGCGAGTTTACACTAGGTCCAGCAAACTTTTCCACGCCTTCTATGACTGGCAGACTGGCCTTACCAACCATACCACCAATCGCTACAACAACTTTATCAAAGTACTCCTTCACGCCACCTTTTACATCCACAACCCATTTCTCCCGCTCGTCATCGAACGTGATTTGCTCGATGGCAGTACTAAGCCGCATATATGGTTCTAATCCGAAATGCTTCGAATAGTCTGTCAAGTATTGCTGAACCTGCGTGGCCGCTGGATGCGACGGTACGTCGTCCGGGTAAGGGAAATCAGTGTAACAAGATCGCTCTTTTGAGACGTTTACGGTTGTGGTTTGCATAACCGATGTTTGCTCTTTCTCCGAGTACTGCCATAATCCGCCGACATGGGCTTTGCGGTCGAAACCTGTGGCGTGAAATCCTTCTTCTCGCAGGTTCTTTAATGCTACGAGGCCAGCCGGTCCTGAGAGGTTCGGTTAGTTGCTTCGTTATGTCAAGTAAGAGATATCTCACCTAGTCCAATGACTGCTACAGTGGGAGCGTCTTCCATGATGCTAGTCGTGATGATGCGTCTTTGCGTATGTTTCTCGCCACCTGCTTTTCAGACCAACACAGCGATCGCAATCGACTCCGCAACAATCGTGTTGTTTAGTAGATTTGGTAACCGTAACGCGATCAGTCTCACGCCGAAAGCGAGTTGACCCTAGATATCGCGTGTGGACCTTACGGCCGTGTCGTT